GTACCCCTGGGGATAAAAATACATTATATGTTTATTAAAAAAAATAAATAAATTTAATAAAAAAATTAAATTAAATTAAATTAAAATTAAAAAATACATCATATGTTTATAAAAGAATTTTAAAAATGGAGGGAAGAAAACGAAAAAAAAAGAAAGCTGTTGGGACTTGAAGCCATTGAATTGTAGAGTTAAGACTTCACAATCGTCTGGTGATTTTCAACTTTGATTATGCATTATAACAAGCTTTGGAGTTAAAACACATATACCTGTGTCTCAGGTGTTTAAAAAAAAACTATAATTTTTTTTTTTTGCCTTTTCATGGTCTTATATAAATTACTTCTTTAAAGCTCTTCAGACAGTGAAGGAACCTTGGAACACTTTGATTCCACTCACACCCTCCCAGTGTTTTGCCATGAATTTGCCATGAATCGGTGTGTATATTTAAACCCCTAGAAGAAATTAGTGTCCTGGTGCTACATAGTCAATACTCATTTAGTCTGGCCTACATACTCACAAATGCTATTAGTGTTTCTTTCCTGCATCTTTGTGCCTCAATCTGGGATCGTATTTCTTCTACCTGAAGAAGAACCTTTAATATTTCTTTTAGTTTGAGACTTCTGGTCACAAATTTCCCCAGTTGTGCTACATTAATGCCACTGTGAAATGCACATCTTTTCCTTAGGAATGTTTTCCCTTAAAGCATACTTTGTCTCCTATTAGTGCTGTCATACTGACTTGATTATCCTGCTACTTTGTGAAAGTTCTCAAGCAAGATTGCTTCAAATGCCACTTCTCCACGTTTCCCTCTCCTTCATTCCAGGACTCAAATGAAGCATGTGTTAGATATGCTCTCTACATCTGCCTTAATTCTCTCCTTCTCTCTTTTGGTATTCTCCATATTGTATCTCTCCTGGCTTTTCTGGATACTCTCATCGGATCTAACTTTCACTTCTCCAATTCTTTCTTCAGGCAGGAACTCACCTTTGACCCTTGAACCATAACACCAAACTTTCAGGGTGGATTTTGTTATCCCCCTAGGACAGAGGAGGGAACTGTGAGTTAGAGATGACAGGCAACTTGTCCCAGGTCACCCAGCCTGAAAAGGGCAGAGCAAGGGCTAATGTCACAGATTAAACCCTAGGCCCAAACCCTTTCTTCTGTGCTTGTGTTCTTCTTGGCCGCAAGTGCTCCCCACCTCTCATCTTCCACGAAATGGAACCACAGAGAAGTTTGTCAACCTTTTTGGCACTGTGCTCTATTTGATTTTAGATGATAAAGTCAGTGATGTTTCTTCACTACCCATGATATTTCCCCAGAACCGTTTGTGGTATGGGGACCACTGATGTGTTGTTCTCAATTTCAGGGCATAATGATGTGGGTAACCCCTTAAAAAGAAGAACAAGATGCTGGGGTATTTACCGAAGGAGATACAACAACTGGTCTGAACAAATTAGTTCTGGCATTCATCCTTCATCCCACCAGCAACAAGATGGAGATCCAGCAACAAATGGTGCTCACATGAGCACCCGAGTGAGATAGTAAGTGATCAGTCAGCATAGCTGAAATGTACCAGCCAGTGGAGTGCATAGGCCTGAGGTAGAACATGTCATTCTCTTCTCCAACCTGGAAGAGTGAAGAATGATAGAATCAGGTTAATGGTTGAGCAAACTTTATTGTACCCTGGTATCAGTGGGCAAATGTGTAATGGAAGACTTTCTGAGCACGTGTGGACTACTTCCTTCTCTCCACTTCCCCACAGCGCTCCCTATGCTGTTCCACCATGTCATCGGAGAGGCAATTCTCAGAAACAAGACCAAACCCAGACTAACATGGAGGGAGAGCAAAAGCCTCCAGAGAGAAGAATGGAGCAGGAGAAGCAGGATGAGACCACAGGGAAATGGTTCAAGATCATTGTGAGTATCCTGGCAAAATGGACTGAATATGTAGAAGAAGGTGAACAGAGGGAATTGTGTTGGACTCATGTAGAGATGCTAGGTACTTTTCTGGGAGCAGAGGAGTGGGTAATCGGCATTTTTTACTACTAGCATCGTCACATTTTCTGCATCACATATGTTAATATCCTAGTTAACACCCTAGATCAAGTAAGGGCAGACTCAGAAAAGCAGTATAAAGGGAACAGACTGACTACAGGGAGAATCAGGTAAGTTGTCTAAGAGCAGAGGAAACTACAGCCCAGGAGATGGAGCAACTCCACACTGGAAGGCTCAGTTTAGCTCTAGCTGAGTGTGGGAAGAGGTTGAGTCTCTGGGGTCCCTGCTGAAGAAGTAGGAGTCTCTGGGATCCCTGTTGGAGAAGCAGGCTGAGGCATCCTGCTTTGAGCTAGGATCACTTGGGACTTTATAAAAGGAAGTATATGTTAAACATCTTAAGTTAATTATTTGAAGAAAGGTGTTTGAATGGAAAGAAAGGTTATTTAGGAAATCCATGTCTGGTACAAAAGTTTGCAATGATGGATAACATCTTATCATAAGAAATTATTCCATAGCCCCCCCCCAAAAAAAAAAGACATGGTTGGGTCTTATCTTAACCTTGGATTCCATTGTGTCAATCTCTTCTCCCATCTTTTCTCCCATCTCTGGATCCTAGATTCCATTTGGCATCAAATATGATGAGAAGTGGCTGCTGGATCTGATTCAGGGACAATGCAGTGTCCCCTTCACCCCAGTTGAGGTAAGAGAAAAGAGTGAAGCAGATGAGAAGAAACAGGGCAGATGAGTAGTGGCTGGGGTCTCATATTTTTTTTTCTCTTGCCATTCTCCCTATAGTTTCACTATGAGAGAATGCAGGCCCAGTTTTTTGTTGAGGATGCCAGCGTTGCCTTTGCACTGAAGAATGTCAACGGCAAGATCTGGGATGAAGCTAATGAAAGGGTGAGTGTCAAGAGCGTGACTGGGGCTAGTTAGGGGCAAGAGGGCAGGAGAGGGGCAAGGTCTTGTGTCAGATTTCCTGGTACTTACCCAGCCCTGCTTGGGTTCCCTACAGATCTCTATCTTTATCTACCCCTCTGACACACCCCACTCTGTGCAGAAGGAGCTGAAGTCAGTAAAGGTGGAGCAGACAAAGGTAATGCTGACTCAAGTCTAGTTGTGCACCCACATCCAGGCCCACATCTTCTTCAAATACCTATTGCACCCCATCTCCACCTCAAACACTCAGAGCCACTGACCCCATCTCTAACTCTGCAACTGACCATGAACAAATGATATGGAGGCTCCCAGCAATCTCTTAACATCCGGAGAGTCTGCTTTGCCTCTGGTATGTCTACAGCAGTGATTCCAGGGCAAGCGAGGGCAGAGGAGCCTGTCTCGAAAGGAAACTTAGGGATGGTAACGTGGGGAGGGGCTGGTGCTGGAGCTGTACCAGCTGGGCCTCTCTCAGCCCTCTGATTCTCTCCTCTTGGCTTCTCGGAGACTTGATCACCCATGATATTGAAATGGTACCAAAGCCTAGACACAGCATGGCTGCCTCCCTGCAGACCCATGAGAAGAACATGCCTGAGGTGAGGACTCAGAGCCAGTGCCGAGACTGGTGGTGAAGGTGGGAGAGATTAGGTAGAAGAGGCAGACTGGTCTCAGATATCCGCTGTTGGGGTCCTCACTCTAACTTTTCCCTCACCATAGCTTTTACCCTTGAACCTGAGAAACAAGACACCCTGCCAACTGGATGGCCTGTCTGACACTGTGCAGAATGCCACTGGCATTAAGAACTTGAACCTCTCCAACAGTGAGGTGAGGTGTGGTACCCAGATCTTTTTCTGAAAGGAGGGTGGGAGTGCTCATGGGGTGGTGACAAGAGTCAGGGAAGTGGATTTGTTGGAAAAGGGAAGGGCTGGGTGTGCAGGCTCATCCTGGCCATCTTTCTCTGCTCCATGTGCTTCCTCCCCATAATTACAGGTGATGTCTTTAGAGGAGCTGGACGAGGGCAAAAGTCTGCAGCCAGAAGAGATGACTGCTGACAGAAGCACCCTGTGCACCGCCTTCCCTGATAAATCAACCAACATAAGGTCAGTTGTACACTGTGTCACCCCGTGGGACTCTGAACTATGCCTGACGCTACCTGTTTGGAGGAGGCAGCAGCTCTGTTCCCTTGTGGCGGCGGGGGCGGGGGGGGCGGAACCAGAGTCCCTATGCTCTCCTCTCTGTGTCCCTCACCTGTGCTTAGACATCTCCTTCCCTTTGTCTGACCTGCTCGCCAGTTTGTCTGGTCTGAGGTCCCTTTGCAGGTTGTCTGCACCCAGCCTTCCCGAGCATGCCCTCCCCAAAGCATGATCCATGAAGCAGGGCTCCCCTTCCTCACTAGGACGAGGGTGACCACCTTGAACCACATGCTGTGACCTGGACTGACAAGGGTCCTTCCACCCAGGGCCTCATGCTGAGACAGGACTTCCTGCCTCCCTGCCGAGACAGGGCTTCCCTCCCTTGTTCTGAGAGGGACCCTCCTTTTCCTGAACCAAATGTGTCCCCCCTCCAATTCCAGGCTGGCTTGGTGGCTTTCCTGCCCCTTGCTGAGGGCCGAGGTCCTGGGGGTCTGCCATCATGACATCCATTCCTCTGACTCAGGGCCAGGAGCTTGGCCCTCCTTGGGAGAAACCAGGGTTCCCTGAGTCTGAGGGCCAGAAGTAGGTGACTGCCAGTGAAGAGAGGGCTTCCTGAGGCAGGAATGGAAGGCAGAGGGCAGAGGTGCTTGAGAGGGCAGAAGGACAGGCCTCTCAGAGGCACTGCCCCCTCCCCTCCCTCCACAAGGCACATCATCCTGACTGGTCCTTCAGAGGAGCCCTGGGTAGCCCGATATGGTTATAATCCCTCAGGCAAAGAACCAACTGGGACAGGCACAGGAGCACTGGGGCCAACAGGAGGGAAGGCAGTGATCATAAGAGGGAACCACAGACCCTCAGCTCCTTGCTGACCTGGGGCTTGACCCTCTACTCCTTCTGGGGTAGTTCTCCTGCCCCCGTGGCTGCCTCGTTCCCCATGCCCAGCTCAGACTGAGCTCACGCAGGTGACTAAGTTTCATCCAGCATGCAGTGGGCCCCCAGGCCAACACCTGCCTGTTTTCCATTCTTACTTTGGGTGCCAGGGCCAGCCAGGGCAGATGAGGGAAAGGACTGTAGTCAGGGAGCCATTTCCTCCTCCTCTCTTCCTCCCTGACCCCCACCACCAGGTTAGAGCTGCTTTTTTTTTTTTTTTCCCTTCCCTTTGCTTTGTTTTCTTTCCCTCCTTTATCTCTACTCCCCTATGTCTCTCTCATCTCTCCTTTCCCACCTTCCCTCCCTCTTCTGTCTTCATCCCCCTCCCTCTCCCTCCCTTCCTCCTGGGTCTTGCCTCAGTCACCTCCCTGCCCCAGCATCCTGGGCCACCCCTGGGGGGTGTCATGGCCCTACAGAATGCTGGACCCCTAGTGAGGTAGCAGAGCCCTCGTCTCCCACCCCATTGCCTCTTCTCTCTGGAGCCTTTGGTGGGGACCGGAAGGAAGGAAGGGAGCGAGAAAGTAGAAGGCAGCCCTGAAGCCTGGCCTTCAACTGTTGCTTCTGGTGGCACTGGAGATGGGATTCAGGACAGTCTAGGTGGGATCCACCCAGGGGGAGGGCAAGGAAGGGGTGGAGCAGAGGAATGGAATCAGAGAGAGGGGGGAAAGAGAGTATGTGCTTTCCCACTAGGTCCATCTGCAAGGGAGGAGCCAAAGGCGCTGGAAGGCTGGGACACTGCAGTGTAGGTGGGACATACTGGGCTGTGTGTCAGGTGTAAGTGTGCTTGCTCCCATGATGAGGGACACCTGCAAAGTTTCACCGACTTTTCTGTTTTGTCTGGATTTCTGCAGCTCCATCCTGGAATTGTTTCCCAAGTTATTACGCCTGGTAGGTGTATTCCTTGATTATTGACTTCTCTACTGGCACTGATGCTGCCCCAAACCAGCCCTGAAGCCATTTAGGTATTGCAGAAGTTACAATTTTCATGACCCTTAAACATCATGGAGGTCCAGATCCATGTGGGAACCCAACAAGGGCTCTAGATCTTCTTCAACCACATTCTCCAGGAGCATCAGGAACCCCAAGACCATGATCCCAAATGTAGTCTTGCCCATGTAATTTCCAGGGCCCTTTTGCACCTGGCCTCTGACCCTCACCCTCCCCGAGGCCCATCCTTTCCTTGACTGTCCAGCACTAGCTCCTGGTCTGCATTGCCCACTCCCTCTTCCTTTCCCCAGGACAGCCAGGAGTCACCTTCACCAACCAGCATTGGTATTGCAGCCCACAAGTGGTTACCAACCTGCAGGGTAAGGAGGGCAGATCAAGCAGGGTTTTGGGTGGTGCACAAACATGGTCCTGAGGACTGTTGTGATTTCAGGGAAGCTTCTTTGGATCTGATGCCCTGAAGCGTCTAGTCCTGCAATTCCTGCAGCAGTGAGTACTCCTGGGAATCTGGGGAAGGGGATGGCTAGGACGGGTGAGGCCACCCAAGCTCAGGACTGCTGACTCGGTCTTGAAATCTCATCTGGGGTCCAGACCACAGAGATAGACTGCCGTCATTACTCTCCCACAGTTACTACTTGATCTACGACTCCAGAGACCGTCAGGGTCTCCTTGGTGCCTACCATGAAGAGGCCTGCTTCTCCCTGGCCATTCCCTTCAGCCCTGAGGACCCAGGCCCGTGAGTAGCAAAGCTCAGTCTCTGTTCCTGGGCCCTGTGGCTCCCCAGCAGACACAGGGCAGCTCCTGGAATCACCCATACTGGCCACGCCACCACCTCCTTTTCCTCTTTCTCTGCTAGAAGCAGCTTGTGCGAGTACTTCAAGGAAAGCAGGAATATGAAGAAGCTCAAGGACCCCTGTGCGTGTGTGATGGGGAAGACTGGGCAGGGAAAGGGGGTGTGCAGGGGTAATTACAGGGCCCAGGTTGTGGCAACCCCTGACCTTTGCTTGTTTCTCCTCCCCCCATAGCCCTGCGTGTTCAGCTGCTGAAGCATACAAAATGTGACGTCATGCGCTCCCTCTGTGTGCTGCCCAAAACTCAGCATGACCTCAGCTCCTTCGTGGTGGACATGTGGTTCCAGACGGTGAGCACCTCCTTCCTCCCAAGGGCAGACCCAGAAAGCCATGGGTGGGTAGGAAGTTTAGGTGACTTAGCACCTGGGCTCTTCTCTTTCAGGAGAGGATGCTCTGCTTCTCTGTCAACGGGGTGTTCAAGGAAGGTGCGTGTGTGTATAAACTCCTCCCCAGATGCTCCTCTGCTCCCTCCCCGCTGGCTGGGCTCCCTCTCAGAACTCTCCCAGCTTACCTGGTGCCTTCCCTTCTCTTCCTATTCCCGCTATGTTCTCCCATCTCCACTCTGCCCTCAGATCATCCTGGTCTGAATTAGGTCTATGCCTGCCTGCCCCACACAGCTTGGGCATTAGAGACACAGTCTGTGGAGTTGGACAGTTCTGACCCTAGATCCTTACTCTGTGACCTTGGCCTCCTAACCTATAAGTTTACTCAAATGTTAATGGAACTAATGATGTCCATCTCTTGAGCAGCTGTGAAAAATACATCAAATGCACTTTTGAAGTGGTTTTCACTGGTCCCAGCACATGGTAGGGTCCCTGTCTCTGGGAACAGATTGCCTTCCCCATTCAGAACACCCTGAGCTCCCCAGAGAACAACTGTCCCCTTCAGCATGAATATCAAGTCAGACCCTGACTGGGGAATGCTATGTGAGTATGTAAAGCATGTTAGAATGCTAAGGCGGTATTGTTTGTTGCTCGTTGTTAAAGTGGAAGGCATGTCTCGGGATTCTGTTCGTGCCTTCACTCGGACCTTCATTGCTACTCCTGTCAGCAATTACAGGTGAGTGCTTTGTTGTGGGTGGAACACCCAGTTCAGTATGAGTTCTGGGGTATGTGAATGGGGAGGTACAGTCTTCGGGGTGTTCCGATATTGTGAAAAGCCAACAGGTATAACCAAGGAATCATGTCTCCTAGTGATTAAGAGCATCGGCTCTGGAATCAGATTGTGGGTTCTTTCCCTGATCCCAACACTCACTAGCTTTGTGACTTTTGTCAAGTCACATGATCTCTTTGTGACACAGTGACTTCCTCTGAAAAACGGATATTAGACTGTCACTCTTTGGCAGTGTAAATATGGGTGTAAATTTGCCTGTGGTTTGGGGATAAACCTATAAATGTAGTGAAATTGGTTAGACAGTCTCTCCAAAGGTTGGCTCTGTGAAGCCTGAAGGAAAAGTAGAGGTATCAGCCAAGGAACCTGGGTGGCAGGCACAGTAGGGGTATGGAAAGAACTTTCTTGCTGAGTGGCAGTGGGAGCAGGATCATTGCTGGGGTGTGGGGTTGACAATCTGTCCAATTTCTAAGGTCCCATTTTTTTTCCCCCTTCAGTCTATGCATTGTGAATGATGATCTGTTTGTGAGGGACGCCAGCCCCAAGGAGACCCAGAGCACATCCTCTGTCCCAGTGCCCACACCCTCCTGCAGCTCCTGGCCCACCCTTTGCCAGAAGCAGCAGGAAATGGGGCAGACTTTCTCCACCCAGTCTGGGATGAATCTCCAGGAGTCTCAGAAGTGAGTGCTGGGGGTGCATGGGGATAGGAGGGAGCTGGGAGGAACCAAGATTGAATCCTGTCAACTTGCAGGTAATTTGTTTTGCTTATTTAGTTCACTCACTACTTATAAGATAAGCAGTTTTTTTTTTAATTATTTGTACATTTACTTACTTACTTATTTTTAGCTAGCCCACTTTTTTTTTTTTTAAACAGTTGTTCATCACTTTCCTAAATCCATGGACCTGTACCTTTATTGGCAGACATTTTGGTTTCAGGAGTTTTTCCCAGTATGCACTGTGCCACAGGGCTCATTCCATTGCCTAAGTTGTGATAAATGTGGTGGCGTGCTCCTTTTGCATAGACTGGGACATGGTACTGTGCAGTCAGATTGTCTCCAGCGTTAGTTTTAATGGATGTCACCTGTGCTTTCTCCACACTAGGTAACTTCATGACAGCCACTGGGACTACATTGGTTCTCACATGGCGCAAGGTGAGGTTCAGGAATTCAGGCCAAATGAACCAAAACTGGGTGGCCTGGGGAGGAGACTCAGGGTTCCTGGCTCTGCTGATCTCCCAACTCCCTCTCCTCACTTCCTCCAGGCCAAGCACATGATCCCAGAGGGGACCCTCACCCAGACTCCTCCAGGATCCTGAGAACACAGCCCTGACAAGAAACTGTTTTTGTAGTCATCTTCATCATCTTTGTTATCTTTTTTCTCTAGCCTGAGTTAATCTCTGACTGAGCGGGAGGTTTGCTGGGAGCTGGGAAGCCAATGTTTAACTGACGCTAATCTGCTCAAAGACCAATTGTGTATTTTCCCACTCAGGATCCCTGATTCTCTTCTTAATAAATAGTGGCATTGCATGTTATGTTGAATCTCTGCAAAATCCATCTAACGCCTGTATTTTGATCACTGGTCTATAGAGAAAGAAAAGGAGACCCAAAGAGGGTCAGTGACTCTTGGAGAATAGTAGGGTAGAGACTCAAATACTTAGACTTCTCTTTAAAGCCCAGGCTGTGTGTGTGCCCCATGGCTGTGTGGCTACCAGGGTGGGGGATGTTCTCTTATTCTATTATACCTGGGGATAGCGTTCTGTGCCCCTAGTGTGTTAGTCAAATATTTTTAGGCAGAGAACAGTATTCTTTCTTAGCCATACAAATCTATTCAAATTTAAAACCAATTCACTTAGGGAAAAACAGCATTAAAGAGCACAAGAGAACCTGGGAAGAATAAATTGCCCTCATATATGACTTATTTTGTACTGATATCCTTGACATAGGAAGGAATCCCTAGAAAGACAGAAACAGATATCAATCAAGAATTGTTATTAAAATCAATAGGAATACCCAAGATATGTATGAAATCCATCCAACCATAATAACCTACAAAAACACAACTGCAAATTTTTTAAAAAATATTTCATTTATTTATTTGATAGACAGAGATCACAAGTAGGCAGAGAGGCAGGCAGAGAGAGAGGTGAAAGCAGGCCCCCTGCTGAGCAGAGAGCCCAATGCGGGGTTCGATCCCAGGACCCTGGGATCATGACCTGAGCCGAAGGCAGAGGCTTTAACCCACTGAGCCACCCAGGTGCCCCACAACTGCAAATGTTTAGACAAGGTACTAAGTGAGAAAAATAAAGCTGACCTGGAGGTTGGTGCTCTCTGTCCCCAGGGTTCTAGTCAGATATTTTTATACATAGAATAGTGTTACATTCTTAGCCATATATATATCTATTGAAAAGAAACCTATTTGAAGAAAGGCAGCATTAAAAAGCACATGAAAATCTTAGGATAAAAAATTATCCTCATGTATAACTGATATAAATATCCTTGGTATATTAAAGCAAAATCAGTAGAGTGATCAGATAACTGAGATCAACCTGAAATTCTTATTAAAAGAAGTAGTAATGCCCAGAAAGTCTATGAAAGTCTATCTAAACATAATAATAATAAAGACACATTTACAAACACTGCAATAAGATACTAAATGAGAAAAGAAAGCTAAAGACTTTAGTTTCCAGGAAAATACATTGCGTGTATATGTGTGTGCACATGCATGTGCGCACGTGTGTGTATGTGTGTCTGTATTGCTATACTGTATATGATATGTAGAAAACTCATTAATTAAAAAAGTACATTGTGTCAGGTAAAAAATATTTGGAAAAGACATAACCTCTTAGAGGCAAGATTTTTTTTTTCTTTAGGTCAGAGATCTCCCCTTTGGTGTGTAAGGTATCTGTTGGGGCCTGGAGGAGATGGAGAATTATTGATATGAGGAAGGTCCCTGAGAGTCAGTTCTGGGGGGTGTTCACAAGTAGACCCTCCCTTGAGGCCTAGGAGCATAGTGGAAGGAGGGGGTTCAAATGTAGGCACAGACCTTGTGTGCCTTCATGAGCAGATAAGTAAACAGCCCTTCAGACCTGCACCTCCTGGGTAGCCTCTAGGTTGCTGCTGTCTATGGTTGAGAACTAGAGATGCTCCCCTAACTACTTCCATGTCTATTGCAATTCTTATTCTCCATCCTGTTTATAAAACACATAACTACTCAGTCAAACTCGGACAGGTCTGAGGCCACAGGAAACTACCAGGTCCCCAGCCTGGTGTCTGCTGGGACACCTGCCAGCTGCTAGGACACCTGCTGGATGGGAACCTGCCATCTTAGCTCTGATGTTTTTTTGCCTTACAAGGGTCCTGCTCAGATGTGTTTATCTTCTAGGCACCCAATGAAGCTTTGGGTTAAGGATCAAGATCATAACCCATTTCCTTTTGTTCCATGTGCTCTTGTGACCCCAGTTTTTTAAACTTTTTTGTCATCCATTCTATCTATATCAGCAGAAAGACTGCCCTCCTACATCATCACTGGGTGTTCTGTAAGCCAAAGCTTAATTTTATATGTAATGGGGACCTAATGAAGATTTCTGAATGGGTATAGAGACAAAAATCTTCCTTTTGAATGCCAGTGACACATAGATGTTAACAATATAAACATTATAAATGTGCATATGTATTCATATATATTTCCATACTTAATCTTCCCAAGTTAATAACTATCCTTTTTAAAAAATTACTAAAATAGAAATTACTGTAGTAATTTTAACAATGAGGGTGTTATGCTCAAATTGTTTTGAAAACACACTTGATTTGGAAAATGCACATCTGTCCCAATTCTATTGAGTTTATCTGAGAGAAACACTAGATAAAAGAGGATAATTAGACCCAACTGAACCAAGCCACAAACCTCAAATATCTACCAGCTCCCTCAGTTGACAGGAAGTGTTATCAGCCACACTCATCCACATTTGATGTTAGAATTTTCTGTCTGATGCCGTTAGCTATCTTTCTACCACTTGATATCTTTACTATGTATGTTCCGATCAATGAACATGGTATGTCTCGTCATGTATTTAGATCTCATCATTATTTTGTAGTTTTTAGCACACAAGTCCTATAAAGGTTTTAAGAAATGCAAATGACATTGTGCTTTTAGGTTCGAATTAGAATGTCTATGTGTTCATTGTTACTTTATAGTAACTTTATATTCCACTTATCTTGTATCCTATTACCTTCTTGAACTCACTAGTTTTAGAAGGTAGGTGTGTGTGTGTGTGTGTGTGTGTGTGTGTGTGTGTGTGTGTTTTCCTTGGATTTTCTATATAGACAATGAAATCATCTATAAACAAAGAGATATTTTTTCTTCCTCTCAAATCTGTATGCCTTTTATTTCCTTCCTTCCTTCCTTCCTTCCTTCCTTTCTTCCTTTCTTTCTCTTTTGCCCATTGCCCCTGCTGGAACTTCCATACTATGTTCGATAGAAGTAGTGAGAGTGTACATTTTTCCTTTATTCCAGCTATTATTAGGTAAGAAACCATTCAGTCTAGCATCATTAAATATAATTTTGCTGTAGGTTTTTTTTTATAGATGCTCTTTGTTAAGTTGAAGAAGTTTGTCTTTATTTCACAAAGAGAAACTCTCTTAGAGCTAATAAGTGAATTTAGCAATGTTTCAGGATACAGTATCAAAATACAAAAAAAAATGAATTTCTAACATCGCCACAGAACAGTCTGAAAATGAAATTAGGAAGACAATTTCAACTGCAGTATCATCAAAGAGAATAAAACACATAAATAAATTTAATGGGGAAAACGCAAAACTTATATTCTGAAAACCACAAAGCATCATTGAAAGAAATCAATCAAGACTTACTTAAATGGAAAGATGGAGGAGGAGACAAGATGGCGGAAGAATAGGGGACCTTGTTTCATCTGGTCCCTTGAATTTAGCTAGATAACTATCAAAACATTCTGAACACCCATGAATTCAACCCGAGGCGTAAGAAAAAAACAATCTGGAGCTCTACAAGTAGAAAAGCAACCACTTTCTGCAAGATAAGAGGTGCAGAGAAGTGAATCTGAGGGGATATATTGGAGGATAGGGAGCCTCAGCAAGCTGGCTACCAGAAAGTGATATAGCCCAAGACGGCAAAATCAGAACCCTTAGAAATCTGCTCCAGTGAGAAACATTCCTGACTGAGAGGAGCTGGTGTGGTGAAAAGGGGCAAATTTCTAGATGGGACTGCGTGGTCTCGGGATCCCTGGAGTCACAGAAATAACCAGGGTGCCTGAGCCAGTAGAGTTCCCAAGCATTGGAGCAGGGAAACTGGTTAGGATCAGCGAGCCTGGGAGGGGACTCTCAGCTGGGTTTGTCATAAAGTGTGAGCTGAGCCTTGATCGGGTGACTGCTCTCTGTGTGGGGACCATGCAAATGACAGGAACTTGGGGCCCCTCCACCTTCCCTTGGGAGGGGCAGAGTGTGTGCATGCAGACCCTGGGGACAGCTCTCAGTGCCTGAACCCTACAATAAGCAGGAACGCAGCAGCCCTCCGCCTCCCCACACCGGGGCTGAGCAGGTGTGTGCGTGGTGGGGCAACAGCTCTCAGGGTGGGAACCCTGTAGAGGACAGTAGTGGGTAACCCTCTGCTTACCCCCTGGAAGGATGGAGTGGGTGCGCACGGGAATTGGA